TATTGATTTTCTTTCGGTTTTGGAAACATTTAATTATTAAGTGAAGAAATAATCCATCATTTGTTTTTTTTTTACACACTTGAAAACGTTTTATAATATTTTGTATAGATATAATCTTATGTATGTATATGTGCACACGCTATAAGCGAGCGTGTATATTTCTCTGTACACACATATATAATTGTATATACGCATGTATACATATATATTTTTTATACGTGTATGTATATTAAGAATTTGGCACAATAAGAAATAGAATCACAGTTGAAATCATTGTACATCATAAGAGTTTATAGTTTTGTTAATACTTTTTTTTTCTTTTTTCTAAATATGTATCTGCAAGTTCGATTGTTGTATCTTCTTTACGCGAATTTAGCTACGTTTTTATTTCTCTGGATTGTTGTATTGTATCACGAAATAACTAGTTAAGAGATCATGATTTTTAGAAATAAATAGTACGAATATCCAAACATCATTTGTATCTTAACTCCGACCACCGTAAACATTTTCTGCGAGGATTTTTGTTTCTTTGTGTAGATTAGGCTCAGTTCATTGGTTCATCATGTGAAAAGAATATCGAATCTATGTAATTTTTTCCAGGGCCGCAAGAATATGAATCATATTAGTAAAAAAAATAAGCATCTGTTTTTAATTTTAGACATTAGTGGTCCATTGTTCCGTTGTATCCCTCTTCTATATTAGGTTCCTATATATTCTTTAGATTATTATACTACCATTAAATGTGCATGGGTCTCTAATATCTTTATCTAATAGTGCCGTAATTAAGTGAAAAACTATGCATACCATTTTTAAGCAATTTATCAGCATTATACCTTGTATCTTTCTGATAAAAATCTTGTAAAATATAACGCTACACTTTCATTTGGATTTTTAGAAATTGTTTGAAAAGATACGAGTAGGCAATAAACACTCCAAAGATAAATATTTAGCTTCTACGATAAATAACTATTTTGTTGTCTCTCGTTTACATACATATATCTGAGTAATAAATGAAAATCTTTCGAATATTGTGTATTTAAGAAAGAACGTCCCTCGCAAAAATTGTAAGAAATAAACGAACGTTTGTGTTTAATAAAAAAAAAAAAAGAAGAAAAAGTGGTATAGAAAATTCTTTTGAGCAGTATTAATTTTGAAAATAAAAAATATAGAGAATATAATGTCCGCATTATAAAATAGAACGAAACCTATCGTTTAACTCCGTATAAAAAGTATCTTCAATAATAAAGAGTATTTGTACATGCATTATTTTTGTTCAATTTGAGATCCATAGAATGTCTTTTTGATTTTCGTTCAACTCATTATCGTCCAGTTTGGCAAAACTTTGGCAATTAACGTAGAAAAGTATGTCGTTACATTGTACACGACAGTTTCACCAGCGGCAAGAATTGCGCCAAATGAACCATACGTACCATAATCTATAATACTGTGATTACATGCTGATAAAACCGCGAGGTCTTTGCCTGGACCCCTTGCATCCACATCGGACACAAATTTGATTCTATGTCGTTTACTATGCAAATTATACTTGCACCAAACTATATTATCGCTAGTTACTATAAAAACTACGTTACTATACTTGCCCATAAAGTAATCCATAGCCGCGAAATAATAGCTGACTGGTGCCGGTCTAATCTTTAATTTCTGCCACAGATAATCCACATAGTCTGTTCTTCGTACGTGTATGCTTACAAACGTTGGTTCAGACAAATTATATTCCTCTGCTGTCTCTTTTAGTACCCTTTCTGCATAAGCTCTTAAGTTTGGCTTAAATGTAAATTCTCTTCGTACATCATCCAACCACATCAAGACAAGGGACCAGTAAGCTGCATGTCTATCGACAGAAATATTTGAGGAATTATATTTGAGTATTATATAATATAATACTTGAGGTATACTAACTTGAGGTAATACTTGAAATATTTGAGGTACTATATGTGAGTACAACAAGTGAAATAAAGTAGCTTACCTTGGTATGATGATATTTTGTTCTGTGCTGTTCCACTGTCCAGGAGAATTAATAACTTGACTAACGTCTAAGTTACATTTTCCAATATAATTGAGTGGTGGTATACTGAGATTTTCAAAGTATTCCTCAAGCGTTCTCAATATGCATCGTGGCATAAATGGTTCCAAGCCAGTTCTTCTTGCAGTAGCCCATACAGAAGCATATTCCCAGATTTGATTCCCAAGCCTGCCACCTTGGACTACAGAAACTATACCATACTTGGGACAAGTATTCCTCCACTCTAGTGGTATTCTGACATTCTTTAAAGTGGTGCGACAAAGAGCTTGCTCGTATGTTGAAATCTTTATATGATGGGCTGGTGGGTTGGATGTGTACATAGGAAACAGGAAGACATGGATGCCAAAGACCACTATCAGAGCAAGGACTATTGCACTTGCAAGTACATGCTGCTGAGCGTGACTCATTATCCTTATTTATTCCTGTATTGGTGTAGTCACTACGTACTGATCAATTCTTTTTTCTATCTTCTACTGCTTTCTGCTTATTATTTTCTACTCTTCAACTTCCACTAGTCCGGCATTTCGTATCTATAGGTGTGCCATGTCCTTTGCTTTTCGTCGAACATCTTTATAATGATAATACTATCTTTATTGAACAGCAGATGCTTCTTAATTCTAGATGATAATAAAATATGGGATGTGTAACTAACGATGATAATAGAAATGATTAAAAAAGAAATGCGTCGGAAAATTTTATGCATTTTTTTTTTATTATAATTAAGAAAAATGTAGCAAAGAGTATTGCTTTTTGCAAACGAAATGTCGATATAATTTTTTCGTTCGGCTGGAAAACGATGGAAACGACATTAAGTAGTATACGTCAATTATGGTCGGACAATGAAAAGGACATGGCCTAGCGTATATTATTCGAAAGCTGCTAATTTAGCGAGGATTTATTATACAAAGCGTGGTATTTGTAAATTAGTTTCTCTTTAAGAATAATCGTTTATTCTGAATCTAATGAATGTATATTACATGTTATATATGACACTATAAGGTAGTAACAGGTGGTGAGCTTTAGATATTACACGAACTTTGATATATACAAGAGTAATATTTACTATTGATATAGCTACATACAGCGTGTAAGAATGTACAGAACATAAAAACTGTAAAGAAAACAAGTACTTACACTGAAGTGTGAAAAAAATTGTTAAAACATAAGGTACAAGTATTAAAAGGAAATTTGCTTCGTCAGAGAGCGACGGTCAAATTACGGTCGACACTTGAATCGAATTATCTCAAATATAAGCGATAATATTTTCAGTATATACTCACCTGTCCCGAATAACGATTGACATTTCATTTGAAATCCACTGCTATCCGCGAAGCTTTTGTTCACCACTCCGTCGATTCTACTACTCATGTTTTCCCGGTGAGATCGATGCGTATCTCGTGCATTGACGCTTGTTGCGTATCCACACCAGATGCTTTATGTTTTCCCGAAAACGTTGCTACCTCGACAAGAATTAATCACAGTACACTCATTTTCCCTATCACGACGTTTTTCTCGGTTTTGTTCGCAAGCAAATTGTTCGTGCAAGCTTCTGAATAATCAACGTCTCCTCGTTCAGGCAGAACTTGCATCCTTGGAACGGGGGATGTTGTTCCGACCGATGACGTCATAGGGAACCGTCACCCCTGGACAGTATAATGTATAGATTTTTAATTTCACTCGTTGTCGATCAGACTGGCTGACTAGGTACGGTAGAGCACTACTCTTCCATCAATTGTAAACCTACCTTTGCTTAACACGCGACCAGAAGATAGCGCCACTTGTACCTCGTCCTCTGTATACAATAGTTGAAATTGTGCAATTTGAATTTCCCGCGGTTTGCGTTTAATCTTCGTGCAAGTGACCAGTGATGCGTAATTCTTCTTTGCATTTTTCTTTGTTTAATTGAAATTGTGTGAAAGTGTAAGAGTGCAGTGTTACTGACTACGAAGAAGACCATGAAGGTTTACATATATATTCCTCACTTTTTACAAAGTGGTTAAAATCGGTAAAACGAAGAGTAATGACGCGCGAACGATTGTAATAGAAGCGTCTAGTGACCATTTTCAATCGAAAAGAATCCTTTCTAGCGTCTTAGGGGAAATAGAGCATGAAAGCTTAGCGTTTTCGTCTCGATAGTCGGTCAAAATCATAACGAGGACACGATCGTATCGAAATCTTCGGTCGTTCCATTCAATCTCCCTCTTTCCGTTCGTCCTATCATTCCCCTGCCCCCCGGGTACCGAAAGCCGATATACGTAAGCTTTATTGTGCATTCGATCGACGCTCGTATCCGCAATATTGTTCAAGAAATCGCTCCGAGGTGTTTCCTCGTAGCCACAATAAGACAGGGGGGCAAAAACTTCTTAAACGATAAGACGTTGTACGATAAGGCACTTATACGCAGTCACAAACGTCTTCGTACGTCATTTGCAATTAAAAGAAACACAGTGGCCATTTTGTGAGATGTCGCTATTGTACGGCGAAGAAAATTTGAAGCTTCAGATGGACTTTAGTTGTGACGTCTCGTTGTTAATCAGCCAATAGTGATAGAATAAGGGTAATAATATATCGTGTATGAATCATTTGGAAATTAACTTTCGTGCTGTTAAATGTTTGTTTTACGCGCCAACGCAGGTAGGAGGACAAGGCGACTAATCTTCAGTTTGCTTTTATCAACGTGCTACATTATCGACAGCTGATTGAAAATCATTTGGCTAAGCTGTTTACCTATATCGCAACTTCCCCTGAAGCGGCAGCAGCGAAAGACCGAAAAGAAGCGAGGATTTCTTGACCAGGTGCCTATTTTCTGCTTATTTGGTCAGGCCTTGTAAGAAAGACCAGAGGGATTGTTTTGCTCAGTTTGTCGTCAGTGTTCAAAGAAGAGAAGAAGTAGTTCAAGTCAACCGTTTCTCAGACGTCCGAATTTTTTTCGAAATCAGCGAGTAGTGCTAGTCAACCATTTCTCAGACGCCCGAGAATCCTCAGAATCGGCAAGTAGTGTAAGTCAGTCGTTCATTTATTTATTAGAGCGCTCATTTATCGAAGTATTTATTTTACTTTCAAGTACTGTCATTGAAGAATAATTAGCGTTTCTTGTTAAGTAACAGTTTAAAGTTTTGTTTAAATTAGAGAAACATCAGGAGAAATGAAGAAATGCAATTGTATATGAAAAAGTCAATTATTTATTGCAAGATAATTGTACCAAATGTATTTTACAAATGGTTTACAGCATTTCACAGTCTATTCATTTCTCTCTCACACAGCGAATCCATTTCCTTCTACAAAAACGCACGTTCTTCGTTACGAAATTAAACAAACCAATCCCGAATATCGTTGGGAACGCGTAGTAACCGAAAATTGCGCGAAAATAGCTACGAGAATGCAAATACTTTCACGAGCGATTGTAAACAACGAAATATTAAACATTCCTACACGTAAATTTCATTGAGATTGCGTGAAATATTACATTCGTTTCACGTGTAAATTTCAATTGAACATATTAAACGGAAATATCTCCGTTGTTCACAGTGCTCGCGAGGTCTGTCGCGTTTCCAAGAGAAGAAGGAGATCTTCGGATCTTGTCTATGCTGACAAGACGAAGCGGTGGGAGTTGTTTCGATCGTGAACCTGGGCTTGCATGCACGAAGACGCTTATCGCGATGAGGAAAGATACGGATTGAAATTGCACGCGCGAGGCTAGTGCTATTGACAGCTCGTCTCTTCAAGGTAGGTGCACCCTTCTTTCACAATACAGACCGCCCTGGGACTCCTCGTTCTTCCTACATCCAGCCGCTTGACATTCGATGGCCCGTCTCCTCCTTTTCTTCAGTCCTTTCGCCTTCTAGAATTCTTATATTCAAAGAATCCTCCTTCCTTCGTTTACTACTCTATACTCCGCGCTAATATCGCTCCAAGTTTCTCGCATCTCGTCACGTTTCAAATCAAACGAATTTCATCGATGTTGCACGCAGGGAGGCAAATATTCTTGGTCTAAGTTTATCGTTATTATCCACCTTAACGATTCAGCTCTGCTACTAACTTAAAATTAGCTCGGCACGTGTATTTCCGCCGCTCTCGACGTCAAGGCCTAACCAATTAGGATTCACTCACGGAGACATAGAGAGTATAGCAAAACTAACCTCTAAGTTTATCGTTATTATCCACCTTAACGATTCAGCTCTGCTACTAACTTAAAATTAGCTCGCGACGTCAAGGCCTAACCAATTAGGATTCACTCACGGAGACATAGAGAGTATAGCAAAACTAACTGCGTACATTAGAGAGTATAGAGACGTAACAGCTCTGTTTCTGAGCTGTGCTTATTCATTCTCCCGGACGAGTGTTTTTGGTTTGTTTCCTGGTGAACGCATCCTTTCCTGTTCGATGCTCTTTAAATACTCAACGTCCTCTCGGTCCTCTCTTCCCGATGACGATGCTTTCTCTAGACGCCCTTATGCTTTGCAGCTTTTTTCGAAATTTTCCTGCACCAATATCCTTGTGGTTTTCACACCAAGTGTTCATCTTCATGGTAACTAACGTCTCTTACATTTTTTCAGAGCATAAGGAGGACTTATTCCACAATTGTCAGGTTGAAGAAATGGAAAAAAAATAGGGGATATAGAGACATAATCCCTCTCTCTCTCTCTCTCTGTTTACTTTCATTCTCACACATGTACAGTAAATTCTCTACAAGTGTCACTTAGTTTGGATTCTACAAGTGTCAGTATAGATGGTCCTACGCTTAGGACTGCGTCATTGCTGCGCCCATGTTATCTCGCTCGCAGTCCTTGTCCTTTACGAGATTTCACGGCCTCTCTCTCTCTCTCTCTCTCTCTCTGTTTACTTTCATTCTCACACATGTACAGTAAATTCTCTACAAGTGTCAGTCAGTTTGGATTCTACAAGTGTCAGTATAGATGGTCCTACGCCTAGGTCTGCGTCATGAAAATGATATCAAACACGATATAATTTGAACAACACTTACTTATTAACACGTTCACTGTCTGGCGTGACATGTTGTTCAAATTATGTCGTGTTTGATGTCATTTTCATCAGAAAAATCTCATCAATATGTTAAGAAAAATTTCGGGATAAAAAAACGTAAGATTAAAAATGTTGGTATTTAAATCGCTTGGTTGCCTCGACTCACGTTTCATCCTTATCTTTCATTCGCTGTCCTTGTCTACGTCCGGCAAACTACAAAGGCGGGCGCGAGGCTCGAAAACGTAGTCCCTGATTCTACAAGTGTCAGGTTCAGGTTCCTTGCGGACTGACACTTGTGGAGAATTTACTGCATATGCATTCATATCTCGTAGATTCGCGAACAAGCCCTTACCGAACCTTGTTCTATTCTTCCATGCGAACTCTCTCTTTTCCAACTCCTTCAGATTTTAGTTTCCATTCTTTTGTCTCTCCCCGGGTTAAGACTTGCCTTCGTCCTCGAGTAGCCTAAGAAGCGCACATGTGGCATCCAGGTTTGCACGAGGACTTTCCGTTTCCACCACTTTCTCTACTTCTATCTTCATCTGTCTCTACTCCTGTCTCCCTGTCCTAACAATATAAAAACCCAGTACACCTACACCTCGGTTCAGTTTTGCCTTTGCCAACCATCGAGACGTACCCGCCGGGACAATTAACGCATAACACGATTGTATTTTCCGGACGAATTGTACGCCGACCATCGGGCTCAGATCTTGATAAATTGAGGTGAAAGCACCCACTTCGGTACAATTAAAGTAAGAACGTCCTTCGACATGACAAAGGACTCGCCAAGGCAAATGATCAACGTGTAAAACTTTGTTCGGAGGTAAGAGCACAAGAGTATGCTACATCCTCGCAGAAAGGATCGATACCCACTCTGACCGTTCAACAATTTATCAGCTGCTAGTCGTTAATCGAAAGAAACGAACTAAACGAGGGAACGGAAGTGGCCGTTGGAACAGGAATAGGAGGGCAACCTTCCGGCCAGAACGAAGTCGGATTAAACGGATAACTCGCTTAGCCGGTCTATTAGAAGACAAAGTGATTAAGCGGAGTTTTACGGGTTCCGGGGGCAGAGAGGGAGAGAGAGGGTGGAAGTTGCCTCGTGAAAAAAGCATCATGTGCGTGGTCGTTCGCCGCATAAAGTCCCGGGGGCGTAAAGTTCGCTTAGTTACTTGGCCAGCCGTAAAATCGCGGTCCTTTATCTCGGGTTGGCCGTGATTCGCGTCGTTCTAGCCCCTGATAAAAACCGTACACGCGACTTTCCTTCGTTTACGGTGCCCCTCGGTGAGCTCTAGGAGCAAGAGGCCGACTTTCACGCTGCTTCCTAGTTAGCGGAGGAAAGTTTACGCCGTCAGGCCAGAGTTTCTCTTCAAATTGCATTTCGCTCGCTGAGAATCGAGCTAAATGAAATTTGATCGCGAAACGGGGGGAACCTAGGGACGCGGAAGCCTCTCGCTCACCCTCTCTATATAACG